GATTCATTACTCACGTCAATAGGTGCTAGTCGCCCTCCGTGCCGTGAGGCAGGCGTTGATTTGAGAGGAAGGCATTTCTAGGAAACGTTTAAAAGGTCATAAACAGCACAGGGACTCACAATGCCAACTCTGGGCCAGACTGGTTGGACTCATGGTCTGCTGTGTGACCTTGGACAGCTGACCCCACCTGGCGGGGTCACGTGAGGGTCGGCTGGGTGGCAGGAGTTTGTGTGCTCCCCTGTGGGTGCCTCCGCCTCCCCTCCCATGGACACAGCCCTGGGCCTGGGCAGGAGCTCAGTGGACCCCGGGGTCCTGGGCACAGGCGTCTGGGCCTGGGGAAGGGGCCGGTCCTCAGGGAAGCAGGGCTCATTTCTGGGCGGCCCAGGGGGCGGCAAGTGGCCGGGGCTTTGCAGTGCGTGTTCCGCAGGAGCCCTGCGGGGCCACAGGGGCTCATGGTGCAGGTCTCCTCACAGACACCAGGGGTGCTGAGAGCTGCATGTGTTGAGCACTTGCTGTTTGCATATGGTGCTTTCCGTAGTGTCTGGTTCGCCCCTGCCGATGTCCCAGTCCACACCCCTCGTTTTTCTCCTCGGAGGCCCTGTCCTCTCGCTGGGCCTGTGCTCTGCAGCTGCTCGGGGAGGTCACACAGGACCTGCCTCGAGCCCGGGTGAAGCCTTCGCCACCATCATCGCCACGTCCTTGTTGCTGGTGTGCGGTGGGGAAGCTGAGGCTCAGCAGGGCCGTGGCTGGCCCCAGCTCCCAGGGGCTCCCCCAGGAGCAGGGCAGACCCGACCGAGAGAGCTGGTCTGCAGGGATGGCGCCTGGCCTTCCAGAGACAGAGGGGGTGGTGGACAGGCTGGGCCTGCGTCTGGGCACTTGCTGAGGGACTTCCTGTGCTGGTGCCGTCCAGAGGGCGGGCGGGCAGGCTGGCCGGGGGAGGGGCCTGAAGCTCTTGCCCCGTCTCTGAGGCCTGGCACGTCCCTGCCCCTGAGTCCCCCACTATGCCCAGCAGTGCCCCGCCGTGATCAAGACTGGCCTGGCGTCCCGCGCGTCCCAGCCTGTGCCTGAGGTGGGGGCTGAGCTGACAGAAGGGGCGGGTGGCTGGGGTGATTCTCACGCGCCCATCTTGAGTCCCCTAGGCCAGGGGTGTCTTGCAGCGCTGGGGATGGAACCCAGGGCCTCGTGCATGCTGGGCAAACCCTGCACCACCAAGCTGCATCCCCAGCCCCAAGACATGTTTTATGCCCATTTCACTAAGAAAACTGGGGCTGGGGCAGGATCCGTGGCCACCTCCGTGACCTGCCCTTCTCCTGTCTCTGCATCTGTCTTTCCTCCTCCAGAGGCACTGGCTCCTCGCTGTGCTTGTTTTATACCACCCGTGCCCCTGCCCCAGGCCCCTTGCACGTGCTGGTGCCTCTGCCCTGACACTCCTCCCTCATATTATTACAGGTCCCCCTCACTTCAGCCCATGGCTGCTCCGATGTGAGCTCCTCCAGGGTCTCCCCGACCTCCCTGTTTGAAGTCACCTGCCCCAAACCCTGGTCTGCTTGGTCTTGTGTGTGTCCCTGCGTGGAGCTGGGTTCTGTCCGTGACTCTGCTCCACTGGGACGTGCCGTCCGTCCCCCAGGCGAGGAGGTTCATCTCCAGCTAGGCCCCCACTGACGTCTCCCTCCTGCCTCTGCCCTGCCCAGGAGCTGGCCAAGAGGACCCCGGGCAAGCACCCCGACCACCCGGCGGTGCAGAGCGCCCTGCAGGCCATGAAGACTGTGTGCTCCAACATCAACGAGACCAAGCGGCAGATGGAGAAGCTGGAAGCCCTGGAGCAGCTGCAGTCCCACATCGAGGGCTGGGAGGTGCGTGCGGCGGCGGGTCCTGCCTGGAGGGGCCGGGTGGCACAGCTGCAGGGTGAACTGGAGCCCCGGCAGGCTGGCCCGTGTTCTGCTCCTCTTCGTAATGTTCATAAGAAAACTGCTCAGCTTTTCCCCCATTAAATCCAAGTAGTTCAGAAGTTTCTCTTGAAAAACTGGTGACGCTGGGTGTGAGTGTCCCACGGCAGCAGCTGCTGAGCCTCTGGTCCTTCGCAGCCCCCAGCTCCCCACTTACCTGTGGGCCTGGAGCCAGGGTCCACTGCAGGACAGGGCTCTGGCTGGCCGCTTCCTGCTGGTGACTCCAGAGCCTGGTCTTCAGCTGCCGTGTGGCGGTTCCCGGGACCTCCACCCGGCCTTCCTCGCGTGATGGGAAGTTCCCAGAGGCTGTGGGGGACTTGGGGTGCTGGTCAGCCCAGTCGAGCGGGGTCAGGCGCGGGTCAGGCTCTGGGCGAGGTCTCTGGCTCTGCAGGCCCCTGGCCCTGCAGGCCCTGGGGTCCCCGGCCGGTGGCTCTTGCTGTGTGAGGGCCCTAGTGTTCCTTCCTGCGCTGGGGCAGCCGGGCGCTGCGGCGCGGCGGGGGTCGGCCGTGTGCGGGGCAGCGGGTTCCGCCCTGGCACCCGCATGGCCCTGCCCTCCTGCGGGCCTTCTGCCGGGGAGGGTGAGGACAGAGCCCCTTTCCCAGACTCCCTTGCAGCTTGGGTTTGGGGTGTGGTTTGGGGTTCGGCTGAGATCTGACCCAGCTCTTGAGCTCTGGAGGGTGGAGGCCACCGCTGCTGTTGGTGTGACCACGCGGCCAAGGCTGCTGGAGCGGCGCCAGCCGAGGGCCCAGGTCCCAGCTCCTGGAGTCGGGGTGGCAGTGGGCACCCCAGGCCTGGGACAGCTTTGCAGGTGGCCCTGCCGGGTGTCTAGACGCGCCTGGGCAGCGTCCCTGTGAGTGCCACACGGACAGGCGGGGCTCTGATTGCATCACACTCTGTGGGGGGGGGGCTGCTGTCCCCCCACCCTCCAGCCGTGCCCTTGGGACCTGGGTGTCCTGCAGGTCTCCTGCATCCGGCTCTCTGGCCCTTCAGTGACTGACCCCCGCCCTCCCTGCCCACGATGCCTCCCTCCGCTCTGCTCCCTGCCGCTGACCGCCACTGCTCAGGTCGGCCTCGCGGTGTCAGAGCCCGAGCTCTGAGAGCGCCCTGCTCTTTCCCGTGTGGCTCCGTGAAGGTTGTGGGTTCAAAGCTGGAGGAGGTGGCCTGGCCTGGGCAGCGAGAGGCCCCCGTGGGAGAAAGTGTTTTTCAAAAGACACAGAAAAAAATTTTCCTTTCATCTCATTGGCCAAGAGTGGGTCACATGGCCACTTTCAAGAACAAATAGAGTTGTTTCATTTAAGATGCTGTCTGTTTGGGCTTTGAGCTTCCTGACAGCCAAGGTAAAAAGAGCAGCACACCTAACTTACTGGACACTCATGTCAAAAAGGGGGGAAGTGACCGTCTTTCTGGAAGATCAAGAGTCTCCTGGCCACTTTCTCAGTGGGCCCCAGTGCAGGGACATTGGGCGGGCTCCTTGGAAGCCAGGGCAAGGTGATTTCCAGAAGCATCACGGGAACCTAAGGAGACAGGAGAGAAAGCCTCAAGCCCTTCCTGCCCCTGAAAATCCCCCCTCGGGGCTCAGGGCCCTTGTGTGGTCACTGCTTCTGGGTCCAGTTAGGAAGGCACTTGACCTCAGTGAGAACTGCCCCGTATTGAGCACCTACTGCATGCTCCCGATGCTACAGGGACGGTACTGTTACTGTCCTGGTCTTCTGGATGTGGACAGTGAGGCCAGGGACTTGGTTCTGAGGCCCAGATCTGTGCCCTACAGACGGCCCTGGCCCCTTTCCTCCTGGGCGCTCCTCTGAGCGGTGTCTCTGAGGTGACTCTCGTATCGCTCTGAGGGGGGCGAGGGGGCGAGGGGGCCGAGTGCTCCTTGGAGACACGGAGGGGCTTTCTGCAGGTAGGAGGGTTCCTCAGGTGAGTGGCGAAGGCGCGGGGGAGCGTGGACGGGTCCTGCTGGCTGGCCAAGCTGCGAGCAGTGGTGCCTGCCACTGCCTGGTCCTGCCCGGGGGCAGCCTGGCCGGCCGTAGCTCCCGTGACGCCCTGCCGCCCGCCGCCTGCCCTGGTGCTGCTCTGGTTGGATGGGTGGGTGCTCCTGGGCTCTGGCCGGCTGGAGCCCGGGGTCCCCTCCCGGCCACCGTCCTCTGGTTGGTGTGGGCTGGGTTGGTTTGCTCTCCGTCGCCGATTCACTGGCTCCTTCCTGAGCTGCTGCCCCTTTTGGTCGTGAGACTGGCCTCATTGAACCCAGCTGCCTGTCCCCAGTCCCCGGTACTGACCGGTGAGGAAGTGGAAGCGGCTTGTGGTCCCTGGGAGGAGCGGCAGGCCCCGCCCGGGGCTCCCCACCTGGCTTCCTCCTCTGGAGGCCCTGGGCAGCGGGGGCCTCCCTTACAGGTGGCCGGGGCTCGGCTGGGTGTGGGGCTGGTGCGCGGGGCCCCTTCCTGGGTGAGCGCCTCCCGAGTGTGGCCTGGGCTGCTGCCCTGGGCCACCCCTGCAGAAGGGCCCCCAGATACAAGCCCCGGGGAGGGACCTTCGCAGGAGGCTCACGGTGACCAAGGGGACACACGTGTTCTCGGTGAGAGGGAAGTGTCCTGGCTGGCCCTGGACGCCCTGGGCAGGGGGCAGTCAGCTGGCCGGCTTGGGATGGGGAGGAGGGAACCAGGGTGCAGGTCGAGGCTGGTGAGGGCTGGGGACAGCTGCTCATGCTCGTCCCCACTTCACCACGGGCCACGCTGGCCTCCGCCTGGGCCTCCGACGTCCGGCTTGCTCATCACGGAACGGGGCGGTGCAGCTCGGTTGGCGCCGTGTGTCGGGGGGAGGCCTCTGGGATGGGTGTTGCCCTGACCAGTGGGCACCTTGGTGCTGGGCCCCCCCTGCGTATTGAACCCTTAGGAGCAGCTGTGCCTGGGCTCAGCCTCCCAGGGGGACTGCAGGGCTGGCAGGGGCACCCGGCCGGGAGGGCGCTTTGCTGATGCCCTTGGCCAGGCCGCGAGGCAGCTTCCTGAGCTTTCTTCTCTCAGGCCCCCAAGGTGGCCTTGGCCACAGGGCCAGGGCCAGGGCTGCGTGACCCTGGGGCTCTGTGTGGGCCAGGTACAGGCCCTCTGGAGCCTGGAAGGGACCCAACAGGGTGAGTGGGGCAGGGCAGGGCAAGGAGGAGGCCGCTGGCTGCCCTGTGCTGGCCGCGGCGGTTGACGGAGCCTAGTCCCTTCCTGTTGGTGAGGACGGGTCCCAGGGCCTCCGCAGCAGCTCTGAGTCTGCAGCAGGCGCCTCCCTCGCTGGGGACCATCAGAGACCCGCCTGCAGGCCCTGTGCGACGAGGCTGTGATCCCCGTGACCCGGGGGCTGAGGCAGGGCGGTGGCAAGTTCAAGGCTGGCCTGGGCAGACCTTGTCTTGAAATAAAAGATTAAAAGGGCTGGGACATAAATCAGGGGTGAGCTGCCCCTGGGCTCAATCCCCAGTACTGCAAGTCAATTAAAAATCAAAATAAAAACTCAAGGAAACAGAGCAGGCTGCAGGGTGCCTGTGCCCAGGGCCGTGTGCCCCCCCAAGGGCAGGAGCCCACAGCCTGGACCACGAGCCAGTGGTGTCCCAGGACAGTGGTCTCTGGCACCCCTGTGAGTGGGTTTGCTGTACCTGGCTGGCCCTCGGCACGGGGAGCCTGACCACCCAGCAGGGGGGAGCCTGTGGCTGGCCATGTAGAGCCCGTTCCCCGACGGGGTCTCAGAGTCCCGGGTCAGCAGGTCTCCCTGACGCCAGCTCCCGTCGGTTCCTGGTTGAGCGCGTGCCCAGGGAGTCTGGGTGGCCCTCCCTCCCTCCGCGGCTTGTCTCCAGGCAGGGATGGTGAGGTCTCGTCCCTCCCTTGGTGGAGCCCGCTGGCCTGCCGCAGGCCCTATGCAGCATATTCCCGAGCCTGGACGTCAGGGCCCTGCTGTCCACCTGGTGACAGCTGGAGGACAGGTGCTGGCTCCAGGGAGCTGCAGAGGTTGGTGGGCGGGTCCCTCCAGCCCCACTGTCACCGCCCTCCTGCCCCAGGGCTGCCGGCCTGGGAAAGGAGGCCCCTGGCCTGCACCATCACGTGACCGTGCCTGGTGCAAGGGAGGCTGCGGTGGGCATCCCCAGAGGGCAGGAGGAGGGCCAGGACCCGGGCCCTCAGCTGGCCTCCTGTGTCCACGGGCCTTTCCTGCTGCCCCACACAGCACGAGGCTCTCTGCTCTGGCCGCTCTTCTGGGGCTCCACGAGCCCCGCGGTCCCGCTGAGGACTCCTCCCAGCTGCACCCGCCCGCCCCTCCCTCAGCCTGTCCAAAGCCAGCTCGCTCCCCCCGCCGTCCCCAGCCACGCCACCTGGGCCTCCCGATGTGCAGGAAGCTTCACGCACCCCTCACTCAGCAGGGAGGGCTGGCAGGGCCCAGCATCCATGCCCGTCCCACGCACAGCTGTGGCTAGAGTGACTGCCCACACCACGCTGGGCCTGGTGGTGTCCATGCCGTGTTCATCTGCTCTGCAAGCCCTTACTGAGCACCTACTGTGTACTGGGGAGTTGTGGGTGCTGGGCATACAGTGGCATATGCTTATGCAGGTGGCACTCCTGTGGGGAGACAGGACGAGCTGTCGGTGAGCGGCACCCAGCCCAGCGCCCCAGTGGGCCCCTTTGGGCACTGAGCTCCCTCAGTCTCCCAGCCCCTCCCGGCTGTGCTGCTCGCCCGCAGGTGGAAGCTCCCACCAGGTGTGCTGGTGTGGGGTGCAGTAGGCTCTTTTGGGGTGCAGGGGAGGCGGGAAGGGAAGTCTGTGCCCGCTGCTTTCCTGGATTGGCCTGCTCATCCTCTGCCTGCCCTTCCTCTCCCAGGGCTCCAACCTCACAGACAACTGCACCCAGCTCCTCCTGCAGGGGACTTTGTTGAAAATCTCTGCGGGTAACATCCAGGAAAGGGCCTTCTTCCTGTTCGACAACCTCCTGGTCTACTGCAAGCGGAAGTCCAGGTGACTTGCTGGGGAGGCTGGTGCCTTGGCTGCCCTCATGGGCCAGGAGGCGGGGCAGGGCCAACCTGCTGCTTCCCTGGGGTGATGTCTTGGACTTCTTCCATGACTTGAAGGGTTTGTTCTAAATCCATAGTGAGCGCCACATACGCTATTATAAAATGAGTTTAAATAGTGCCTTTATTTAACCTAACGTAGCCACAAATATAACGTGATATTTAATTGTAACTATATATATATATATATATATATATATATATACACACACACATACATATACATGTGCGCATATATACATACGTATACATAAAACAATAAGTTGGTTTGAAAACTTCGGGTGCAGGTCACCCTCAGCACCCCTCAGTTTTTATATTTTATTTAGAGACAGCATCTCGCTGAGTTGCTTGGGGCCTTAAGTTGCAGAGGCTGGCCTTAAACTTGTGATTCTCCTGCCTCAGCCTCCAGAGCCACTGGGATTACAGGTGTGCTCCCCTGGGCCTGGTGGAGCCTCTGATTCTGAAAGAGCTCAGAGCACTGTGTCGGAGACTTCCCCTATCCACGTCCCAGACAGGCAGTGTCCTGCGAGTCCCCGCAGGGACCAAAGTCAGCAGGCACCTGGCTGCTTCTCCAGGTTGGAGGGCTGTGCACACCTGCCTGCTGAGAGCCTGGCACCAGGCAGCGAGCCCGCCTCTGATTGGGAGTAGAGAGTGGAGCTGGGGGGCCTGGGGACTGGGCAGTGGTGAGGGGAGCCCCAGCCCCCCTGGTGTGGCCACAGGAAGCGCCTGAAGCAGCCGTTTCCCACCCGCTCCATCCAGCCACCCACCCTCCTCCACCGCCTGGCACACCTCACCCTGCACCCGCTACCCTCCCTCTACCCACCTGCTCACCCCAGCCCCGAGCATGCACACCACCCCTCACAAACACTGTGCTGTGTGTCCCCTCCCGCTGGGCTCCAGGAAGGGCAGGGCGCTCCGAGGGCGGGACAGAGCGGACGGTGGCATGTTCAGACCGTCCTCAGAAACTCAGCCAGGCCCTGAGCAGCTCGGGAGGGCCTGGCTGGAGCTCAGTGGTCAGCACCCCTGGGTTCAATCCCCAGCACCCACCACCCCAAAAAAGCAGGAGGCTTTTAAAAGCCCAGCCTGCGAGTTGCCCAGGGCGAACTGCGGCCGGGGGACTCACGGCTCCATGCCAGCTGCCTGCTTAGTGTGTCGCAGTCAGGAGCATGGAGAGTCCGTCACCGTCCGCCGCTGGCCTCGTGTCACAGGGTCGGTGAGCAACATGTGCACAGTGCAGGTGTGCACAATGCAGGTGTACACGGTGTGCGTGGCCCATGGCTGGGGCGTGGAGTGGCATGTGTGTCCTCTCTTGGGTGTGTGCATCCCTGTAGGTGACACTGAGACCTATAGCAGGTTCTCTATAGAGATGGAGATCGGAGGGCGTCCCATTTGGG